AGATTGACTTGTGCATCTACTCCAGGTTTTATTTCTAATGGTTAAACTTTTTTAATACTTTCAACACTACTATATAACAAATAATTTGAGATCATGAATACGATGTTGTCACGTTGAAAAGTTGAATAATTTCTTTCCTGATAAGAGCCCTTTCCTTGTCGCATCAAACGGGATCAATAAAAATTTATCCAAGAAAACGTTATAAACTTTATGTAATATGTACAAAAAATCTTTGAGACTTTACACTCCCAGTTGCAGTTATAATAGATGACGTAAGAGATGAGTGTACATTCCACACATTCATCAGCTAAACACTTACCTCAATACTCAGGGAGAGGGAAAGTTTCAACACTGGATCAGTAATAAATACACAAAGTTATTAGTGTCGATACTCTTGGTGGATTCTGGTTGTTAACCAAAAACTTCTGGCAAACATGATGAGATTTCGAGTACGCAGCGCATGGGCTGAATAAGTTTTTAATTCTTTATTCGTATATAATATAGCTGAATTTGTTATACTTATTTAATTACTCATTGGCATAACCATAAATGGAATAATTGAGCTTCGACGCATACTTCTAGACACAAACAGTGTTATACATTACACGGGGACCCTATTATATCGTCCTTTCTTCAAGTGTAAACTCTGTTAGCTAACTATTTCCTATACAATATACATTCTATACATTCTATACATTGTATACATTGTATACATTCCAACCAGCTGTAAAATGCTGGTTAACACTTAACATGTTTTCCACAGATCGGACGGAGCTAGATCGGTGAACTCGATTTCTGAGTACCTAAATGGAAACTTACAATAGGCAATGGAATTTTGTGTAACCGACTTCTTCACTTCTCATTCAACTGATGAATACAACGTATAAAGTGTCCAGGAGTATACGCCATATCATTAGGCCTTATAAGAGAAGATATGATTTAGATATCTGGTCGACAACTTTCTGATTTCTGATGTACATTTAGCCACTAGGCAGTAGGCACTAAGAAGTAGAACGTGTGTCTTAACAATGTGTGGATTACGAAAAGTGAAATTGAGGGAAGCATGAACAGTGAACATCCTAGCATTATAAATGTTTACCAGTGAGAGAGAGCTGAGCTGGCTGAATCTCCTGCTTTATTGCTCTTAATGTGTCGATCATTAAATCTAGATAACTAGTCCTGTCTTCATGTTTCATAATGAATTAACTGAATTTTACGTATTATCGTTAATGGAATTACTAATATCACTCTGATAAGGCAAGCGAGGTGGTGCAAGAGGGATTGGAGAAGGGTCTGATTGATTACGGGAAATTACCCTCTGTGGATGTGGAGAGGGATGAGGAGACTGTCTGGACTACCGGTTAGTTTAATCAGTGAAAATAAGAGCTCTAAGGAAACCCTTATTTTCTAATAAAGTTTATGAAAGTGTCAGTAATCCTAGTAAATGGAAGTGTTAACTGACGTACAGGGACAAAAGGAAATCGCGGCATGTACAGAATCGCGATTTTTCCCATTATTTGCGAAAAATTTTATGTGTAGTTTAATGTATAGTCTGTTAAAAATCGCGGTATCGCGAATTTTAACCAAAATAATCGCGAAATCCTTTTGTCCCTGCTGACGTATGATTTACTAACCCCAGGTCAAGATTCATGCGAGATGGCGAGACAGGCTCATCGCACAAAATCTTAAAATAAACACAGAAAAAAAACTAACAAAAAAATGTGTGAGAAAATAGAAAAAATGTAATTTAAAAGTTTTAAGCGACACAAAAATGTACTTTATACTTTGTAAATTCGGAACTTAGTGCGGTGTGAGATCACGTGGTTTAAGTATAACAACTTTGCCGCGCGCAATTAGTGCGAGATTTTGACGAGTTTAGTATAAATCTCACCCCAATATCGCGAGTCTGACTGCGAGATTTCGGCACCCTCTTTCAGCACTACATATTCGGTCGCGCGCAACGGCCCCATAATACTATTCCTCAACTTGCTGGCCTTTTCGTCTTTATCATCAAGCCGACTTTTCATGGTCATTGAACTTTTGGTATTGATTGTTTTGAATTATTACTGGCTGTGTTACTCTGACGGCTTACTTTTCTGTACTGTCTAAGTCTTAAAGGATACTAGTTGTTGTCAATATTAATCGGTTTATAAGATCAAGATTCACAGTGGTTACTATAGTTACCATGGTTACCATTAAAGGAGGTCCGGTAATGGTCGAAATCTCAAGGTACTATTCCTGGCTACAGTCGACTCCATCTTTCTCAGAATAATGAATATACTTGACACTGCCATAGGCACAGTGGATATTTCTTCATTAAAAGTTTGAAAAAGGGTCTCTTCAACTGTAGACCTGACTTATTAATCCTAGCAGGTAATTAACTCTGGATCCTCATCACATTGATTCCATTCTAAATTCTAGCCATAAACAAAACAAATATTACCAGATAACTCCGTTCACCATAATTTGATATGTTCCAGTATGAACGAGGCCTTCCCCGGACAAATCCTTAAATGCCAGTCTTCTCTAGCTGAAGTACGAACTGTATAATTTATCAGATAAAGTATATTACAAGGTGCTCTGATGATAATTTTAGTAAAATAATTAATAATTGCCAAAAGAATGACCGTCGACGAGGCTCGAACCCGGAATCAGCTGCTTAGCGGCCGTGCCCTAAACTGGGGCGCTACGTGAGGCTTATCAGATTTACAATATGTAACATTATATACTTCATAAAAATACACACGTGAATTTTTCGTTATGTATGGATCCAAATTACAGCGGCATACTTACAATTCTGAGAAATAAACATCGAGCGACATAAAGCGACATACTTACAATTTCGCTTACAAAGCGAAATCTTTTTAAATACAAAGTAATTTGTGGGGCAAGAAATCTTGCAGGCTGGGGGGGGGGGGGGGGGGGGGGGAAATCGCACTTTTAGTCTCAAAATCCAATCTCATCGCACTTTTTTTAGAATCTTGATAGGGGTTACTAACGCTACCCTCTTGTCCAGGAATTGACTGGGTACAGGAGAAGTTGGAGTGCTGTGGTATCACTGACGGCTACGACTGGTCACGTAATGCAGGGGCCGCTACTTGGTGGATATCAATCACTGGTGGTAACCATATCAACGATACTCCCGACAGCTGTTGTGTTAAGATTACTGAGAAATGTGGAGTGGGTATGGCGGTGCAGGGAGTTCAATCTACTGTGCATGAAGATGTAAGATAATAAACTTAACTACTTAGTTTCTAAGGTATTGTTCAATCTACTGTGCATGAAGATGTAAGATAATAAACTTAACTACTTAGTTTATATTTAGGTACTACTGTGCATGAAGATGTAAGATAATAAACTTAACTACTTAGTTTCTAAGGTATTGTATCCAAATCTATCAAATTCCTAGAATTGTTGATAATTTTTATAATTTAAACCTCTTCAGGGGTGTTTCACGTTTGCTAAGAATTGGGTGGAAGACAAATCAATGATAATGGGCGTGTGTGGATTGATCTTCATTATTTTTGAGATCTTCAACATTATCATCGCGTGCCTGCTGAGGAGTTCCATGACATCCATCTCTTAAGTCCTTTCTCTGGGAAAATTTAGGATTTGTTTTCTGTGATAGGGGGATAATATTAGGGTTTATTTGAACGATTTTATTAGGTTTTTTTAATAATGAATATTATTCGTTGAGTTTTAGATTTAATTTTATAACCATTTGTATGACCATTTAATCAGCTAATTGTTTGACAGCTTCATTGTTTGACTGACTCTTGACTGTTTACTGACTTTGAAATACAAATTTCGACCAGACTAAATCTGACTGTCATTGTTATGGTTTCAAATTAAATCAACAAATTAACTCATCAGAATGTATCATTAAAAATGCTACATTGATAATATAAACTGGAAACTGCAGACTGACAATTCCTAACATATGGATCGACAAATTGTCTTCAACAAGTTCTAATCAAGTTTCACCTTCAACAAGTTCTAATCAAGTTTTACCTTCAACAAGTTCTAATCAAGTTTCACCTCCAACAAGTTCTAATCAAGTTTCACCTCCAACAAGTTCTCATCAATTTTCACCTCCAACAAGTTCTAATCAAGTTTCACCTCCAACAAGTTCTAATCAAGTTTCACCTCCAACAAGTTCTAATCAATTTTCACCTCCAACAAGTTCTAATCAATTTTCACCTCCAACAAGTTCTAATCAATTTTCACCTCAAACAAGTTCTAATCAAGTTTCACCCCCTAGATCAAGGCATGCAGACCACCTACCTCTCTGATATTAACCTGTTCTTATCAAAGAATGTGCCCTACTGGGACAAATTCGGGCGATATCTCCTTATATTCACATTTGTTATTATCGGGAAAAGTGTATCACGGTATCTGGTGAGGACTATCAAGGGAGATAAGAAGAAGAAAGCAACTGTGAAAGAAGCTGAAGAGAAGAAGGATGAATAGACCTGACCAGATTGAAAATAACTCGATATTTTAACTTTCTATTGAGTGTGACAGTAGTGGTTATCATTTTATAAATTATAAGACACTTATTTTAAGTTTTTCGCTTAATCCGATGTCTACAGAGTTCACAAATGAAGTTTAATGCGCTTCAAGGACATCTGTTTGCGTTTTAAGATAATCATAATAATCCATTTATAATATTATAATCTATATAAATGATATTTATATTTTATGAAGCTTTCATTACACGGTTGAGATTGTATTATTGGTTTAATATTGTGAGCAGTGCGAGAAAGATAAATAAGTGAGGGAACGTGAAAGGAAAGAGTGTTGTGTCCGTGAGCTAGCAAGTCTGTGAGTCTGTGAGTTAGTGAGCTAACTAGTCTGTGAGTCTGTGAGTTAGTGAGTTAACTAGTCTGTGAGTTAGTTGCTGATTTAATTTCTGTTCAAAGTTTTGTCTATTTATGTAATCGTAGTTTGGTTTGTAAAGTCACGTGTTTGTTCTCACGTTATCAATACTGCGTAGCATGTCACAAATGTTCGGTTGCAAGTGCCGCCGGTTGCTATGTCCACGCTCACGGTTGCTAGGATAAGAAAATGAGACTCTTAACATTTTCAGGTACTTATCCTGACTCATTAATGAGCACCACTCAGCATATTTACAGCGTGTCTTTTCGGATCCTGATTGATCAAATTTATCATTAAAATAATGTGCTTGACCCACTATCACATCCTCTTATTTTCTGGTTCGGAATCGTTCACATATTAAGTTAAAGCTAGATTTATCCCGTTTTCCACCTCCAGAAGCTCCCCTATTCTGCTTTAACGTAATATTTGGACGATTCCTTAATCGCATGAGATTTTCTAAGATTTCTGTCATATTTAACGAAACTGTAGCTGAAATGTTATTTCAGGCGATAAAAGCCAGCCACTCTGGGTTTGTAACTGCTGTAGCTAACTATGATCCCGGTGTTGATAGTACTACTGGAGGTAAGATAAACAGTGGCAACAAATGTTTGTTTCCAGTTGTGCCCTCCGTGGTATTTCCGGACAGCAGATCTTCAATCTGCCCTATTTTTATCTGTTAACAGATACATGAAGAAAATGTTTACAATTGAAATCAGTTGAAGAGGATGATATTTAAAACGATTAAAACATACCTTATCCAGGCATTGATTGGCTACAGAAGCACTTAGATTGCTGTGGTATTCAGAACGCATCTGATTGGCGAGAAAACGCCCAAAAAGCTACGATATGGATTAAAACCTATTTCAACAGCGTTCCAGACTCTTGTTGCAAAAGGTATTGAATTTATCACTAATAACTTGCTCAATGTTGCTCAATGCTTCAGCGATGAAAACATTATCTGTGGGTTGGTCATCGCTATTAAAGAAATTTTCGGCGAATATTTTGTACCATTTAATTATTCACCTTTTTTTTTCAAGGCAAAAATAACGGAAACAATAGATATTATTTTGTAATTCTTCTACGAAAACATTCCTCAACATTATTTTACCCAGGCTGCGGGACCAGTGGAACCCAACTCCCAAATGCGGGGAAGAACAAGGAATGGGGAATAGTCCACTCATCCACAACGGGGTAAGAATTGCACAAAAGGGAATAATCAACCTGTTATAATAAAATAATTATTTTCTGAGTTTGTCAGTAAATGCGAGTTTGGAGCCTCTACAATTTAAACTATAAAAACATAAAAAAAGTTGTTCATATAGCTAAATACAAATTCACATAGAACCTTGAAATTATACCCCTCCTAAGACTGTGACATTCCCAGGGTTGCTACGAGAAGATGGTAGCTTGGATCTACACATACATGCCTATGATGGGGGTCATGGCTCTGGCGTTCATTCTCTTCGAAGCTGCTGTTATCCTGATTACCTGCGTTCTCAGGAGAGATGGCTTATCTCCGGTGCCTGTCAGAATACAGTAGCCGAATAATCTAATAGACAATATCTGCTGAGGATGATGACACGTGGTATTGCCATGTGATATTACCACGTGGTATTACCTCGTGATATTACCACGTGATATTACCACGTGATATTACCACGTGATATTACCACGTGATATTACCACGTGATATTACCACGTGATATTACCACGTGATATTACCACGTGATATTGCCACGTGATATTACCACGTGATATTGCCACGTGATATTACCACGTGATATTGCCACGTGATATTACCACGTGATATTACCACGTGATATTACCACGTGATATTACCACGTGATATTGCCACGTGATATTGCCACGTGATTATACCATTTTATTTGGTCGAGGTTAAATTAACGGGTTTATTGGTTACCAGGTTACCAGGTTGCCCTGCACTATATACTGTTTATTTATATTACGATAAAAGGACACTAATTCGGTTGATGAGCATTTGAGAGTTTATCCAATGCTTTAATATAGCACTCTATTATCTTCGATTTATAATTACGTAAAGGATCATTGTATCTTAATTGTTGGATGTCGGATTTATTATTTCAAATCTTATGCGGATAGTTAGCAGTTATTCTTTATTAACAACTGAAAGGCTTAACTGAGGTCCACAAACTTTAGATTGTGCATTTATATCAAGCTAATACATTTTAATATTTACTGATATTTCTTCAGTAAATTTTATTTCAGCAACATTTTAAAAATACATATAATTATAATATTCAGGTTATAATGATTCACAAAATATTTTTTAAGATCCACATTCCACAGTACTGTGCACGCAATATGATCCGGTCCTCGCTTATAAAGTTATAGTAAGGGGAAAAGTGGTCGATTTAAAGGTTCCGTTGGATTTGAATGTTCACAAGGATTTCTCAACGGAATATGGTAGTTAGGACCCCTACGAACATAATGAGACTTGTCACCAATTTTGTATCTCACGGAAACACCTCTTTTTACCACTTTTTACCACCTTCTTACCACCTTTCTGGTTTGCCAAATATCTTTAGTTGTGAACGTCGTAGAAGGTTGCAAATTAATCGAAGATGTTCATCTCATCAAAGAGAAAAACTTTTGTTAGAAAACTTTTTACGTTGGATAATCAGCTAATTGGATAATTACCAATTAGCTAATTACCAAAAAAGTGAAAATTTTTTATTGGCTCAAAATGATTGAAATCGTTTGAAACACGGAGAAATGTAGTTTTTAGAAAAACTTCAAAAATTGTTCACTTAAACATTTTTTTCGAGACTTGGAAAAAAGTTTGAAAATTTGAAAATATATTATTCCGCCAAAAGTGATCGAATTGCATGAAACGTGGATAAAAATGCTTTGCAGAAAAACTTCGAATATTTTTAGATTGGGGAATACTAAAATCATCCTCATTCGAGTTGAGTTCAGTAAAATCTCGACATATTTTATTAATTAGGAAACTAGCTTAGCGAAAGGGCTGAACCTGAAAAAAGTATTAACACCACAATACTAGAGTTTCATAACTAATTACAATACAAGGCTTTATCAAATTCCACCTAAAGAAACAGCAACAAAAGGACCATTTAAGATCGAACCGAGTTTACATGCTGTCCGATTATTTTTTAATTGATTTCTATGATCAAAACCTATCTGTACCGTCAATCATGCCAATGTCTCTAAACCCGATCTGAATGTACGGACTCTTATTTAACCTCTATAATAGACCCAGTTGTGCAAGAAATGCGATTTTCTCACAGGAGTTTCTTTGTAGTTTTAAACTGTGCACATTTTTGTCACTCTCGCAAGAGGCCCGGTATTATAGGGGTATAGGAAGCGAGTGTAAATATCCTTCCACATCCACTGTGGCTTTATTGTTATTGTGAATGCGCATGCCGCTCGTTTGTTATGCCAGATACCTCAAATAAAACCCCCCATATATCATTGCTAGGGGGTCGGGTTAGAGCTGAGATAGCCTCGAGAGTTCTAAAATAGCTGATTTAGAGTAAATGGTGGTAGCTGGGTGGTGCTAGCATAGATGTAGCAGAACGTAGCTACACGGGGTTTCATTGGAGTTGGTTATTTTAATGGCCAAAGAGTGCCGGGAACTAAAGTTACTTAGATTGCATTTGAGGGGCAGTGTAAACCACGGTGGAGTCCAGGGACACAGAGCTACAGTGCAGGAGTAACTGCCAAAGAACATGCAAGGATACCAGTCTGCAACAGTAAAAACGCCGACAAAGCTAAGACTTAGAGTGAACTGATGGAAGCTTGGGTGGTGCTAAAATGGAGGAGCAGAAACGTACTACAATGAGAAAACATGAAACTAAGGCTGTTGAGACCTAAAAAGATTGAATCTGTCCTGATAGATCCAGTGAAGCCGAGTAGCAAGAGTTTGATCACTAACCAAAAAGCTCTAAAGAAGAAAGGCTGAAGAGACTCACTTCGATCAATAAAATCCGGTACGGCAAGGTCTGTAGCCTTGAAAGAAGATACCATAAGTAATTCAGGCGGAAAAGTCGATTTATAATAGAAGGGTTTCGTGTATCTAAAAAGGGTGGGTCAGTCCTCTCTGTTTTCATCAGATTCTGATAAAAGGCTGTTAAGGCTCAGGACGGTGATCTTAATAGGAGGGGTTGGGGGGCGGGATGAGGGAGGGGGGGGGTAGCCGCTGGTTGCTTCCAGCCCTCCCTTGTCGCTTGGGTATAAGTTCTCACCCACCTCTTCCAAAAATACCTGAGCAAGGAAACCCTCCTTCCTCCTCTTCTTTTCAAACACAATCATGTTTCCTGCTCCTCTCCTCCCTCTGCAGCCACAATCTTATCTCCTTCGTGTTTTAACTGTTGCAGACTGTAATCACTTGCACGACTTGTTGCAGTACTCTCCTGCACTGTAGCACTGTGTCCTTGACACAACCGTGTTTTTACCCACTGGCCCCTCAACTAAATGCAATCTTAAGTAACTTTAGTTTCCGGCACTCTTTAGCCATTAAAATTAACAACTCCAATGAAACCCCGTGTAGCTACGGTTTCTGCTACATCCATGCTTAGCACCACCCACTACCACCAGTTTACTCTAAATCAGCTATTTCTAGCAACCTCTCGATGCTATCTCCACTCTAAAGCCGACGCCGGAAATGAGATATGGGGTTTATTTGAGTTAGCTTGCACAACAAACGAACGGCATGCGCAATTCCCACAATACAATAAAGCCACAGTGATGATGAAGGTATATTTTACACTCGCTTCCTAGACCCCTATAATACCGGCCTCTTGCGAGAGTGACAAAAAGTGCACAGTTAAAACTAAAAGAAACACCTGTGAGAAATCGCATTTCTTGCACAACTGGTCCTAATTATAGAGGTAAATAATAGGTCCGGTCCATCAGATACCCCGGTATAGATGGCAGGATTGACGGTACAGATAGGTTTTGATCATTGAAATCAATAAAATGATAGTACAGCAGGTAAAATCGGTTCGATCTTAAATGGTCCTTTTGTCTGTTTCTTTATGTGGAATTTGATAAAGCTGTATTGGTAATTAGTTATGAAACTCTAATAGTGGTGGTTTAACCTTTTCAGTTCGCCCTTTCCGCTAACTATTCCAATTTATAAAATATGTCGAGATTTACTGATCAAGAGGCAGGCCTAGGAAAGGAGCTTTAAATGATGGTATTTATTTGAAGATCTGAGCAGGAGATTGGGATCGTAATGGACTCACGATTGATTTATGAGAAATTGGCTGCAGTCGAAAAGATGGAGAAATATTACCCGCCGTAGTTGATAATACAAAGTATACGCAGATGACGCAGACTAATCCTTTTGGATGGAGATCTCGCCATGTAACATGTATGTATGAGATTTACTGAACTCCAACTTCAAATTTTGATGATTTTAGTATTCCCCAATCTAAAAATATTCGAAGTTTTTTCAGCAAAGCATTTTTATCCACGTTTCATGCAATCGATCACTTTTTGGCGGAATAATATATTTTCAAATTTTCAAAACTTTTCCAAGTCTCGAAAAAATGTTTAAGTGAACAATTTTTGAAGTTTGTCTAAAAACTACATTTCTCCGTGGTTTCAAACGATTTCCAATCATTTTGAGCCAATAAAAAATTTTTTCACTTTATTTGGTAATTACTATTGGTAATTATCCAATGAGCTGATTATCCAACGTAAAAAGTTTTCTAACTAAAGTTTTTCTCTTTGATGAGATGAACAACTTCGATTAATTTTCAACCTTCCGACGTTCACAACTAAAGATATTGGCAAACCAGAAAGGTGGTAAGAAGGTGTAATAAGTGGTAAAAAGAGGTGTTTCCGTGAGATACAAAAATGTGACAAGTCTCATTATGTTCGTAGTCCTACTACATATTCCGTTGAGAAATCCTTGTGAACATTCCAATCCAACGGAACCTTTAAATCGACCACTTTGATCCCCCTTAACTATAACATTATAAGCGAGGGACCGGATCATAATGCTGCACGTACAGTGAATGTGGATCTTAAAAAATATTTGGGAAATCATTATAACCGTGAATATTATAATTATATGTTTTTTAAGAATGTTGCTGAAATATAATTTACTGAAGAAATATCATAAATATTAAAATGGTATTAGCTTGATATAAATGCACCATCAAAGTTTGTGGACCTCAGTTAAGCCTTTCAGTTGTTAATAAAGAATAACTGCTAACTATCCGCATTAAATTTGAAATAATACATCCGACACCAACAATTAAGATACAAGATCCCTTTACGTAATTATAAATCGAAGATAATAGAGTGCTATATTCAAGCCATTGGATAAACTCTCAAATGCTCAACAACCGAATTAGTGTCCTTTTTTATCGTAACTATAAATAAACAGTATAGAGTGCAGGGCAACCTGGTAACCTGTAACCAATAAACCCGTTAATTTCACCCGACCAAATAAAATGGTATAATCACGTGGCAATATCACGTGGCAATATCACGTGTATACACGTTGGTAATATCACGTGGTAATATCACGTGGTAATATCACGTGGCAATATCCCGTGGTAATATCACGTGGCATTATCACGTGGTAATATCACGTTGGCAATATCACGTGGTAATATCACTGGTTAAGATCACTGGTAATATCACGTGGAATATCACGTGGTAATATCACGTGTTATATCACGTGGTAATATCACGTGGGTAATAATCACGGTAATACCAACGTGGTAAAATCACATGGCAATACCAACGTTTCATCATCCTCAGCAGAATGTTGTCTATTATTATTCGGCTACTGAAAATATTCTGACAGGCACCGATATAAGCCATCTCTCCTGAGAACGCAAGTAATCAGGATAACAGCAGCTTCGAAGAGAATGAACGCCAGAGCCATGACCCCCATCATAGGCATGGTATGTGTAGATCCAAGCTAACCATCTTGGCGCGGGAAGCACCCTGGGAATGTCACAGTCTTAGGAAGGGTATAAATTTCAAGGTTCCCTATGTGAATTTGTATTTAGCTATATGAACAACTTTTTTTTATGTTTTTTATAGTTTAAAATTGTAGAGGCTCCACTCCTCATTTACTGACAAACCTCAGAAAATAATTATTTTAATTATAACAGGTTGAATTATTCCTTTTGTGGCAATTCTTACCCCGTTTGTGGATGAGTGGACTATTCCCCATTCCCTTGTTCTTCTTCCCCATTTGGGAGTTGGGTTTCCACTGTCCCGCAGCCTGGGTAAAATAATGTGGAGAGGAATTGTTTTCGTAGAAGAATTAACAAAATAATATCTATTGTTTCCGTTATTTTTGCTTGAAAAAAAAAGTGAATAATTAAATGGTACAAA